TTTTCAACCGAATGTATCTGGTATGTGCGTATTTCCACCTGAATTTGGCGGAAGAATTCCAGTTGATATCGCAACAAATGAACATTTGTCATATTATGGATGTTGTTTAGCTAGTAGTGCACAAACGAAAGTTTCACTATTTCATCGACATTGTTTACAAGATTTTGTGTATAAAGAAAATTATGTACAAGATTATGTTAAAAATGATGGACACGGTGGATTGGAAAAGCATAGTTTTGCACATTTGGATTGTCCGTTAGGTGATAATAGTGGCTATTTTATATTAGGGAGATTCGTTGATAAAAACAACAGTGAATTGCATTTAACAGGATTTCATATACCAACAAAACACACATTATATGTTCCACCATTGACAATTCATAGTAACGATTATTTGAAAGGTACATGGCGAACAATGTTATCTGATGAAGCGAGTATTGATCATGTTAGCTTAACTCATCATCATCGACTTAATGGACATGATACATACGAACATTTTACATTCGAGTTTGTTCAATAAGTTTACTTCAAGAGAAGTCTTATTATATATTTATCGCTCTTAATGCAGTAAAGTTTTACTCAACCATTTAGTCCAGATTTTGTAAAAGGTGTTTTTTTGTGGTTTATAGTCTGCATTCAAGAAAGAGTTTTAAACAAAATCACGAAATCAGTCACTTGAATACGAAACGCAAAAGAAATGTGTGTTTACAATAACGAACCTTGTGTAATATTTCATTTCTTAGTTCTTTCCAGGAACAGTCTACAGTTCCGATATATCCCATATTTTGTTCTCTAGGAAGGAAAAGCGTTCTTTCGTCGAATTCTTATCATCGTTCGAAAAAGCGTAAAAGGAAAGAACAACATAAATACACACTTGATAAGTAAAGTATCGTTTCACGTTAGCGTATAACTCGCTCAATAGAGTAAATAAAATTGTTAAAAGTATATGACTAATCGGTTATTACTTTCTTCAACTACGAAGATACAAGGACAAGGTTTTATTAGCTGGTCGTATGAAAAGGGTCACTAAACTTTCACGTTCAATACAGGCAACTATTTGTACAGCGTGGTGAATTAAAAACTGATTGTAAAAGGAATAGTGCCGTTTTCAAACCATCAAAAATCAGGAGAGAGATGGTGAAAAAATGTCTGATCGAGAATAAAGATTTATTATTTTTTCTAAGATGTACGGTGCAACACAATAAATTATACTTCTCAGCAAATGTATATATATATTCGATGGCCATTTGTCACGAAAAACGTCAGACACATTACAAGACCATGTGTCTGGTTTAATATTAAATCCAGTTCGAAATATGAAGTTTAAACATACGAGTTCGGGATTCCTGACTTTTGGGGTTTCCGAGTTTCGAGGTTCTCGAATTTCGGGATATTCCCGTCTCGGTGCATGCCTAAATCCAGCATAAAGAGATAGAAAGTATTATCCTCTTTTGCTGAAAGTTTTCGATATAGTGTACGGAGGACAGAATCGGTGCAAATTTTTTTTCTGAACAGCTTATTACATGAATCGACGGTCAGCAAAGTATCTCT